AAGTCACTTTCCTTATTGTAAGAACAAATGTATATATATATATATAATTTGAAAAGTAAAATTTCAGTTCCCTTGGTATATATATATATATATGATGAACTTTTCTATAGTGTATATACTAACTAATAATCTCGTACTAATATACCTGTATCATAAAGAAATATTTCCGTAAAACAAGACTCATAACCATATTCATTCTCCACCCGACATTCGTACTCCCCCTCGTCCTTTTCTGTTAAATCGGTCAAAACAAGCTCATGCCAACCAGAAGCATCATGATATATCTTGTATCTTTCGTTCATGTGACTCAGTAAATCTCCACACTTATACCACGAAACAACAGGGGGCGGTACTCCGGCGACTTGAACAAGAAGGGAGATGTTGTCACCTTTTGATGCATCCATTTCAGGTGGTAGTGGCTGGATGAAGGATGGAGGTCCAAGAACCATCTGGGAAAACCGGAAGTAGCTTATTTATTCTGCGAAAAATAGTTATCAGGGATAAAAATACACCTTGCCATATTTCTAGCCAGTGTGAATAACATTACTATACCTCTGTATGTACTTGACTAATGACTAATATTACATGTCAAAACCTATATCTATGTTTCATCAAATGCTGATTTTTAGCTTGTGCAGAATGTCAGATGAAACATTAATTCCGGTATCTAGTCTACACCATCTTGGTAATTGCCATAGTCCCAATTATGTCTTCAGATATGAATTTATACATCTTAAAAATGCAAAATAAAAGTTGTTCCTAAAAGAGAGGCAACTTTTAAAGAGAGAGATCGAAGATATTAACACTCATATTTGTTATATAGTTCCCAAGTAAATAACTTAAAATATAAATAAAACAGTAAGTTAACTAAGGTTGATATCAAAGTCATGTATGTAACTAATGGAATACTATTTTCCCATATTTTAAATAGTGATAAAACCTTTCGCTTCCGTTCGTCGCTTAACAATCTAAATTATATTCAATTATTTCAAATACAATTTAAAAGTAAATACTTTTAATAGAAACTCCT